TTTTCTGGCATATGTTGGAACTAAAATAACATTAATCTATCGTTTCCATGTGGGATGACATTTTTTTTTAATTTGAAACCCGGCCCTGGCTTTTGACAGGGCCCTTAATACAGCTGAGCAATAAATATAGTCCGACGACTCAGAGGGGTTTCTGGGACCTCTTCCCGGGTTTTCCTAATCTGCATGGTGGCACTTTGTGTCACCAGGTGTTTATTGCTTGTGTGATGTCCTGGTTGGGTACAACTACCTACCTACCTACCTGCCTACCTACCTACCAACCTTCCTACATTCGTAACTTGGTTTTAAAACTATAAAATTCAGAGTTTATTTTCTTCCAGCTCTTTAAAGCCGTTGATTCCTTGCCGATGCGCGTCATAATGTCTTTCTCTCTATTTTATTTACCATCATAATTACTGTCTAAATAAGTAAATTAATCTGTTACTTTAATTACTGCTGTCTCTTATATCTCATCTGCTTGATCTGTTCTTGGTATCTTCAGTATATGTGTCTTTTCACAGCTTATCTGTTGTCCAACCTTTGATGTTATTTGGTAAATCATCTTCTCTTCTTTGCATGTCTCTATACTGTTCTTACTTAGCAGAACCATACCACCAACAAAGTCGAGATCTTCCATGTGTTCTCCACACATTCAATGCCAGTGTTTTCAGCACATTTGTTTCTATCACCTAGTTAATGCTTATGCCAAATAACAGGGGAGATAAATGCATCCTTGTTTGATTCCAGTTTAAATTCTATAATTATCATCCTTATCAAGTGCCCTGCCAGCTGGCGTAGGCGTTCATGCATCTCCACAGATCTCGGGTCTTTGGCCTTCTGGATCATTTCACTGATGATATTGTTCAAAGCCACTGTCTTAAGCGAACCACCATGATTTCTCCTGGTCTGCCTCTGCCTATTCTACCAGTGATCTTTCCCGTCGTCACTGTATTTTCCAGTGCTCCTTTTCTCATCACATGACCGAATGATTACCTGTAAATTGCTAATGAAAGTATAACGTTAAATACAATAACAAGAATGAAACAGAGTTCTTTGGTCACTATTTTATATTATGGTTTGAAAATTCTGTGCAGTCCTCACATAGTTCAATGGACGCAAGGCACTCACGGCTAGAGTGGACCTCAGCTCTTCCACGGTGTTACTTCTAGTGCCACTACCCGAATACTTCCTCTTCTTTTTTGTTTTCCGGCTGTAAGCTCCGGTGAAAAGAACTGGTTGCTCGTCCTTCTGGAATTAAGCTTCGTGCCAGAGCCTGAGTTTTTCATGTACTTTTGTTTTACCGGCTTATTTGTATGCTGTTGATTGTTCCTTGGTATTTACCACCTTTTTTATAGCAATGAAATACCAGTAGAAAATTGGATGAAGCGTATCTTGAGTTTGAGAATTTAGGGCTCTGTAGATTGAACTCCCTTCCCTCCCCCTCCCCTCCCCCCCCCCCCCCCCCCACCTCCTTTATTTTCCTCTTCCCAAACTGTTTGTCCTGACAGGAAAATAAATTCGTCATATTACGAAAGATTTGAGCTCTGGCTAAACAAACGATAATCGATTGTTCGAAATGCTCGAAAAGACTAATGGTCGCCATTTACAAACAAAAAATAATAATAATAATAATTTATCAAAGACGACCGTTGCAGTGTTATATTTTGTGCCATTTTGGTGTAAAATAGCCGTGGTAGTTTCAGTAGCAAGTACTGTCACCTGAGGCATTTCAAAAACGCATAATTTAATAATCTACAAAGTTTTCCCTCACTACTAACAGGGTTAGAGGGAGATGGGGGTGGTGGTGGCAAATAGGTTAGAACTCCGTGCGTTAATGTTACTGTAGGTAATAGGTAAATTTTCATGAAAGCATAAATCCCGAAACACTGATCGATGTTTGTATATATATATTCTAATTGTTTAATTAAAGAGCGCAAAATGTTTAAAAATGTTAGGGGAAAAAAAAAAAAAAACTATGAATGCTCTATATTTTCTGGATTGGTACAAAGGAACCTCTTCTACGTTCACCCTTAAACAGGTGTTTGGCACTTTGCGCTGTGATTACACCTAAACCGTGATATACGTTTCGGCCCATCACATCCGATTTCTGCAAACCCTATATAGACGCCTCTTACGAAATGCTTGTTAGGGAGTTGGGTCGATTTTTTGTTCTCCCCAGAATGAATTCCCGGAACAATAACTAGTTCCCAAGAACATTTGTTGAGATTTTCCCAAGTCTAACATCTCACAAGACAATATGCATTATATATAATAAACAAATAGACATGTGGATCAGCAATATCTTATTTAGCGAGCTTGGTTGGTCAAGCCTCTGGGTACCATTGTGCCTGCCGGGAGGCGCTGTCGTCATTTGGAGGTGACCTATTCAATTCCCGAGATGTCAACTACACCTTTCGATTTTGGTGTTGTCTAGCGTGTAATTGTCCGCTGTGTAGCTGTTAGGTCCTCGCCTGCTGATCTGAAGGTCGTGGGTTCGGGTCGAGACGGAGATAGACTTCTTTTTAAAAAATGGTCTTGGTTCCCAGGTCGACCTTGCCTTGAAAGGGTACCTGGTGGAGTCCTGGGAAATAGAGGCGGCCTGTGTGATGCTGACCACAACACCCACCCGAGTGGCGATTGGTCTCTAAAGTATAAGTCTTGTCCCACATCCCCAATTCGCCTGAAGACATGGAAAACGGTTCTTTAATTACTTAATGAGTACTTATATCGTTTTGCTTCTTTCTCTGAGTGCCAGTTGATACACGAATATTTTTTTTTTTTATTACATATTATACTATATTTAACTGCCCGCCTTCGGCCGGTATAGTCAAAGAATGTTTTATCTCATCGTTATAGTCCCTGCTGCCGTTTATGTAGTAGAGCCCGTGAATCTTGGTTTCCCCCGCTGCCCTATATGTAGGCCTAGTGGAAATAGAGATCTACCTAAAACCCTATATTTAATATCTCGTCTTCTATTTCATCTTTGTCTCCACCTCTGCCGTATCTATAGTCAGAGTCTCCAAGTGCACCCGAGGCATCCCCTATAATGCGAACACCAGTATTTACCAATCTAGGAGGCAGATAAATGTATTGCAATAGACACGTATAGATATTTGGTTTCAAAGAAGATAATAGAAAAATAATTTGGTTTTAAATTACCTTTTCAGGGAAGTAATAGGGAAAAAATATTCGAAGGGATATAGCTCCAGCGAAAGTGTAGATTCACTGACTGTTGCAATAAATAAAGAAACGCGCAATGACCTGGACCGCCAGTATGACTGTTATAATAAACATTGTAGTCATAATGGCAAATGAAAATGTAACCGTTGTACTGGTCACGGTTTGGGAGGAGTTGAAACTTTATTTATAATTACACAAAAAAGACATAAAAGGTTTGTGATTTTTAGTAAATATAATAATTACATTTTTTTCGGTGTGTTCCCTGCCGTCCACACAAAATTCTAGAAAAAGCTTAAGAACTTAACATATATATATATATAGTTACACACAATTTGACACCCCAGAAACATCAAGTACAACAGAAACTACTCACATTTTTAGCTGCAATATGTTCCGTAGTGTAGTCACAGAAGCGTCTGTAATTTAAAATTACTGAGTGAACTTCGCCACTTTTATTTTCTTGGATGATTTATCCAGCAAGGATGTATCGTTTTGGACTTTCCTATAGATATTCAGTAAAACATTCGCCAGAGATGGCAGCTCGTTGGAAGCAATGTTTACTTTAGAACAACCTTCACCAAGAGACTATTTCACAAATAAAATATACGTGTAAAATGCAAGAAACAATATGCATAGGCAATTTTGTGTGAAGTTTGCAGGCTAGAAATGTTGTACTTAATGTTTCTATGTTGGTTATATTGTGTGTTACAAAATGTATGTTTACTTTCCAAGCTTACTTCTAGAATTTCCACAAGTACTGAGTCTGCCTCTTCAGTGTAACAGGGACAATCTCTGCAGGTAAATAGAGAAAATTTTATAAGTGCTTAGTCAGCCTCTTCCATGTAACAGGGACAATCTCTGCAGGTAAATGAAGAAAATTTTATAAATGCTTAGTCAGCCTCTTCCATGTAACAGGGACAATCTCTGCAGGTAAATGAAGAAAATTGTATAAGTATTTAGCCTCTTCCATGTAACAGGGACAATCTCTGCAGGTAAATGGAGAACATTTTATAAGTGCTTAGTCGGCCTCCCAAATGTAACAGCGACAATCTCTGCGGGTAAATGAAGAAAATTTTATAAGTGCTTAGTCAGCCTCTTCCATGTAACAGGGATAATCTCTGCAGGTAAATGAAGAAAATTTTATAAGCGCTTAGTCAGCCTCTTCAGTGTAACAGGGACAATCTCTGCAGGTAAATGAAGAAAATTTTATAAGTGCTTAGTCAGCCTCTTCCATGTAACAGGGACAATCTCTGCAGGTAAAGGGGAGAAAATTTTATAAGTGCTTAGTCAGCCTCTTCCATGTAACAGGGACAATCTCTGCAGGTAAATGAAGAAAATTTTATAAGTACTTAGCCTCTTCCATGTAACAGGGACAATCTCTGCAGGTAAATGGAGAACATTTTATAAGTGCTTAGTCGGCCTCCTAAATGTAACAGCGACAATCTCTGCAGGTAAATGAAGAAAATTTTATAAGTACTTAGCCTCTTCCATGTAACAGGGACAATCTCTGCAGGTAAATGGAGAACATTTTATAAGTGCTTAGTCGGCCTCCTAAATGTAACAGCGACAATCTCTGCAGGTAAATGGAGAAAATTTTATGAGTACTTAGCCTCTTCCATGTAACAGGGACAATCTCTGCAGGTAAATGGAGAACATTTTTTAAGGGCTTAGTCAGCCTCTTCAACGTAACAGGGACAAGCTCTGAAGGTAAATTGAGAAATTCCACAGTTACCGAGTCTACCTCTTCAATGTAACGGGTCAATCTCTGCAGGTAATTGGAAATACTGCCACAAGTTCTAACTTTTACTGCATTTTTTCCCAGAATGGACATCGTTATGAACGTTAATTTTACTCATCGTTTTCAAAATGGAACTGTCACAGTTATTGAAAGAGAACCAGAATTGATATTCAATAAGGAAGTTACGTATTATGTTCTGCTAATCAACACTTGGGGATTAGGCCAAGGTGTAACATGCTTGGGTCTGATTGTTAATATCCTCAACATCATCATCTTTATCCGACAAGGCTTTAAGGAGTCCGTCAATGTGAGTCTGTTCTCACTCACTATATCTGATCTAGGTTCACTTGTGTTTCTATTTTTTCTTAATCTGTGTTGGATCCCGGCTGTCGGAAAACTAGACCTTCCATTCTACCCTGATCAGATGATTTATTTTTTATTTTACGGTCATGTCATGTTCACGAGAGTCACCACCGGAACGACAGCTTGGATCGCTATGGAGCGATGTTTGTGTATTATCACCCCTTTGAAAGTTAAGTCCCTTATCACTGGCAGGAGAACTGTCGTTTTCGTTTGTGTGTTGTATTTAATCTCTACAGCCTCATGTGCGCCGCTGTTGTATACTTCAAGATTTAGGTGGATATTTGATGCCTTCAGAAACAAAACTCTGCTTGGGCTGGTAAAAATAGAAAATAGAGAAAAAATAGAAGGAGTTGTCTACGTGGTCAACAACGTAATGCCGATAACCTTCTTCATTGTTATCGTTGGCTGCACTGTTGTTCTCAGCAAAGCCTTACTTAAAAATGCGGAATGGAGACAACGTACTGCGATACAGAAAGAAGGGACAAACAGAGACACAAAAGTTGTTAAACTTGTCTTGATTATCTCCCTAGTTTTCATTTTCTGTTACGCTCCTGGCTCTTTATTTTTCCTGTGGGTTCTCATTGACCGTGAGATGAAAATTGATGGGAAACAACGAAATTTTTTGATTGCTTTCTTTGGGATGTTGCTTCACCTGGAGTCTATCAACGCCACGGCCAACTTTTTCATTTATGTTACCATGAGTTCAAAGTTCAAAGCAACATATCAACAGTTAATGTGCTTTTTTCTTTATGAAAGACACAAATAAATAAAGTATTGGTTATGTTCAGTGGCGGGGTTCTGTGGCCTCATAGATTAATGAGTGGCGTCCGTGGCTAAGGCGTTGCGAGTCCGACTCGCAAGCCAGCATACCGCGATCGAAACCCACTGCAGGCTGCGTGGATATCTGTCGTGGTATGGGACGTCGCAGGTCGACCCAGCCTAAAATGGGTACAAGGATGGGCTGTCCTGGAAAAGTAAAGACAGCCGGCGTAATGCTGACCACATTACCCACCGAGTGCTGATGGTCTGTAAAAATATGGGACGCTCTGCCCATATGCCCGATGCGCCGAAAGGCGTGAAAAGGGATCTTTACTTTTTTTTTATATTACAGTTAGATTTCTGTGACGGGCTCGTAAATAAAGAACATTTTCCTAAAGTTCAGCCACTGGTAAGAGAGTCCTATCGTGGAAGAGATTTAAACTTTAACACGTAATATTCACACAGACAGGAGTGTATTCATTGCAGCCAACTACAGTTGTGGAGACGGCAAACAAATATGAATGACAAGACTTTTAATGGCAGTTGTAAATTGGTACCGGACAGAACATCCAGGTAAAGATCCGACATCAGAGCATTCAAGACAAGCCCGTGTTAGCTACGTCTCCCTCCTCAGCAGCCAGCGAAGTGTCTCCATACTGAGGGTATCCATTCTCATCTGGTTCTATACTCGCAGAGCCTTTTCTCCGAGTCTCGAGTGGCGCCAGAAGCCAACCAGCTGACACTCACCCCTTCATCATTATATTCAGAAACAGGTTTTCAAAATATCTTTTATTTTACTGGTTATCTGGTTAACTTTAAATGTTTTCTATTTATAAGAAAATAGCAACAACTATAAACTTATTGCATTCGTTATAATAGTAACTAGCTCTATAACTGTGTTTTATTTATCCATGAAGTTGAATTCGAGATAAATTAGACAGATTTGATAAGCGGTCACCCGAACTGGATGTCATATTTCAGTAGGGGATAAAGCACACACATCAGCTACATGATAACGTAATCTCTCTTTGTGAAATTATTTCATAGGGCGGAATCAAACATATATTCAAATGGCAGTGTGTGAAAGTTAGGGGAACCAGTGTATCTTTATCAATATCATCATCATTATCATAATCATTATCATCACCACCATTACCAATAGCCTCAGCATCCTCCTGATTACAAATATCATGCTGTGCCGTTTTACGTCACATAAGGCTGGCAGACTAATCTTCCACCGCATTATATCCTGCGCAATCTTTTTAAGGTGACGGATGTAATCCCAGCACCTTCGACTTCTTGCACTAGTTCATCATCATCATAAGTTCTCGTTATGCCTAGTGGCACATGAGGCTTCAGAGAGGACTTTCCAAGCTTTCCTGTCCTATGCAATCTTCAGTGCAGTTTTGCATGTCAGAGATGTTCATTCAGGCCACTCTCGCTGTTTCTTCTCCATGTTGTTTTTGGGCATCCCTTCTTTCTCTTTCTATCTGGTGTCCATGTGAGAGCTGTTTTGGCAGGCATATCAGGATTCGTTCTCATAACGTGGCCAAGCCATTTCCATCTTCTCTTGGTAATCATACTGGCTAGAGTTTCTTGGTTTGTGACTTGAAGTAGTTTAGTTTTTGAGATTGTACCTGGCCAGAAAATTTTGATAATTCTACGTAGACATGTGTGGTGGAAGGTGGAGAGCTTAAGTGCATCCTTTTTGGTCATTCTTCAGCATTCAGATCCATAAACAAAACATACAAACAAAAACACAAAACTGGCAAAATATTGCTTTTGTAGAGTCGAAGCTTCGTTCCTCTGCAGTAACTGTTGGATTTCCATATTTGCCTCATCCTTCCAAAAGCAGCTCTAGCTTTGTTGAGGCGTGACTGTATGTCTTCCTCGGTCCCTCCCAGTAGGGACACCATACTGCCAAGATATGTAAAATGTTTTAAATCTTCAAGTGTTTGGTTATTTATGGTAACTGGTTCTTGGTTTGGATTGTTTGTCTGATCTTAGTTTTTTTTTTTTTTTTTGTATTTAACAACTAACGTTCGGCTCAGGGTTTCTCGCGGACGTAGTACTCATTTTTTTTTTCAATTCGTTTAGGCAGTGATGTTCAACCTTTATCTGGTTGCGTCCCCTTGAATATATGGCACTGACCTCTTCCCCCCCCCCCCCCCCCCAACGCCACCCCACCTTAAGTTATAATTAATTGCACATCTTATTCCATTAATTTGATTTTTTAACGGTAGATGCACAAACTGCTAATGAAAACAAAATTCCATAGCGTTTTAATTTTTTTTCTAAACGTATTGTATTTATATTTACACCTGGAGTGTTAGTAAAGCAGATTATTACAAGCACACATGTCGGCGTTTGTGGCCGTAATGCCGGGGTTCGATCCAAGCTGCGGGCCTTGTGCCAGTTTCCACAGTGGTATCAAAAAACCGACCGTACAGAAAACAATGGCAAACTACTGGATGTACATTTGACTAGAAAAATCACTACACCCATAAAATACTAGGGTTTTTTCTGCAATGTCTTGTAAAGGATACGCAACTAACTTTTTTAACAAGCATACAATTTCCAAATCGCTTGGCGCCCCCTTTGCTTCCTTGCCCCCAAGGGAAAAGGACGCAGACTGAAACACACTTATTTAGAAGAACAATTAAAGGTATACAAAAATAGGGACACAAATGGTAAGAGAACTTTCATACATCTGTTGAAGGTTTCAAAAATATACACCTCGTACTAAACTTTAAATATTTAGTAGCTTCTGCAAATAAATTAGCATTGCAAAGATGCATAACACGGGTTCATTAAGTAATAAAAAAGCGGACTAACTGGCAAGTATTGAGCCACTGTAAGAGAGAACATTCATGGACAAAGCAGATATCACCAAGGCCCTACGGAAAGACTGTTGGACAAGGATGAATCTCTGAGGATAAGATGATTACATGACCTCGGAGTAAAGCCTGGTAAAGCACTCGGTGCCGTCTTCGAGGTCAAGATAGGAGAGATTGTAAACAACTTCTTATGGGAACAATCAGTAGAGGTACCTTGGAGTGGCTGCTGCATGGGAGGACAGCACACTTGGGAATGCCGTTATGTTTAGTGGCGTATAAGGAATCAGATGATCTAGGTGGACATAAGGCGGAAACTTATGGAGGAAACGGCAAAACAACATAGGGTGGCTTACAATGGGAGCTGATGACATGAAAGCTGCTTGAAGGTCTATGTTTCATTGATTGGTGATAGGGGGAGGGGGAGGAGGAGAAGGAGACAGACTGTCGTATAGACAGACAGACGTACTAACAGACAGAAGGAGAAAAAGAAGAATGAGGAGGGAAAGAAAAAGAAGAAGAAGAAGAAGAAGAAGAAGAAGAAGAAGAAGAAGAAGAAGAAGAAGAAGAAGAAGAAGAAGAAGAAGAAGAAGAAGAAGAAGAAGAAGAAGAAGAAGAAGAAGAAGAAAAGAAGAAGAAGAAGAAGAAGAAGAAGAAGAAGAAGAAGAAGAAGAAGAAGAAGAAGAAGAAGAAGAAGTAGAAGAAGAAGAAGGGAAAGAAGGAAAAGAAGAAGCAGAAAAAGAAAAAAAAAGAGGCAGAAGGAGAAGAAAGAATAAATATATATCTGGATGTAAACGGCAGTATATGCTAGCAATCTGAGAAACTAGCAGCTATACCAACTGTGTTGCAAACCAAAGGATTATGGGTGGAGGGTAACACATATTATATGTTGTACAGGAAGGGGGGGGGGGGTGGGGCTACGTGGTCTCGAGATATGGTGTCCGCCTCGAGTGCTAGAGGTCCCGGGTTTTAGCCCCGGTTAGGGATGTGATTTCTTCTGTTCACGTGGACTTCTAGTAATTTTTCCTGGTCCCTGGGTAGTGAGATCGGATGCCCGTGTGTATCGTTGCCCACGTAAAAAAATCTTTTGGCAGTTGGAAATCGAAAAGAGTAACCTAACAGCGACGGGCAAAATTCTTTTTTTATCTGCCCGGGCAGATAATACTCCCATTTCGAAGGAAGTCCCCAGTTAGTCGACTCCTTCGACATGCTTGCTGTGGAGGCAGCAGGTGTATTCTAGTCTCCCCCCCCCCCCCCCCACAATGGAGCCCCGTAGCCACATGGGGAAAGACGACTCAAACCCTAAGATCCGTCAGCTCTGGATAATCCATGATGAATTCAGTTTGTGAAAGTAAGAAGTTCGCACAGAGGAAAGTTTAGCCCCCTGTTGTGTAACCTACAGCTACAGCTGTGACCTACATGTTTGGTGAGTACAGTTCACGAGACGTGTGTTATCACAGTGTGTAGTTTGATCGTGCCTATTCTCCATTCATGGCTTGTAGCTGCTTTTCGTTTTCTAGTTTATAAAAATATGGGATATAAATACTAAAAAAAGAACCTGGAACCTTGTGGTCGACGTGTATCTGTAGGTGTTGATAATATATGCTCAGGGTCTGCACATATCAACAAAGTGCCAGGTATGTTTTCAAATGTTAACGAAGCAGACTGTGCTATATATAATGCTGTAATTTTTCTATATTTATTATATAATAATTTTTTTAGGTTGTTCAACCTTTCATGTGCATGTTGTGCGTGACTGTGTGTACGCGCGCACGCACACATTTCTTACTTTACTATCTTTTAGGATGTACAACATATCATCATCATCATCATCAGGTGCCTTGCCGACTGGCGTGGGCGACCATGCCTCTCCATAATCTGCGATCTCCTGCAGCATGTATCAGTTAGTGTGCCGACACACCTCCATGCCATGCAACAAGACTGTCAAGCATCTTTTCTCGTTGTCTTCCTCTATTCCTCCTTCCACAGATCTTTCCAGTGGTCACAACATTTTGCTATTTTCCCTCTTCTCATAACATGGCCGAAAAA